CTTTGAAACCCTGTCTTGGCATTCTTTACTTATGTGAGCTGTATTTCAGCAACTTCCCCAATCACTCTGCAGCTCCTTAAGGAAATAAAACCCAACTGCAGGAATAAAACTTCCACAATAAATCTAAATACTTGAAAATATATCAATACATAATCCAATACTTGTTTCCTCCCATACCAGAGATTCAAAGGCTCTTTAGCTTTTGCTCTTACCTATTACCACTGCAGCCTCCTGTGCCTCTTCTGACAGCCTGGCTGTTCAGACTTTTCAGCAGTGTCTGTGTTTCTGTATAACATCTCCAGGGCCAATGGGTGCAGGTTTCTGCTCCTGCAGGGCCTGATGTTCTCCCTGAAAGGCACCTCAGTGTTTCATTCTCTCCCTTTCTTCAGCTGGAAGGGTTTTCTCAGCTATTTTCAAGACAACTACATAGCACAGAAACAAAAGAGCCAATTCAACCACAGGTTTTGCTTTGGATTATTTTCCCTGAAGGGTCACCCCTGTTCTTTCTCCTTTCTCCCCTGCTCTCACCCCCCAGTAGGATAAACAAACCTCCTCTGTCTCCCCCTTCCCATCCCTTCTCTCCCTGAGCAGTGCTGGCCCTGCTGTTCAATGAAGTTCAGAACTGAAACAAGGATTCCTAACAGATTTTTTCTTATAATCCATATTTCTAAAACTAAACTCTATAACACATAAGAGTTTTTCTTTCCCAGTTTGAGGGAGAAAATCATAAAAGTGCATGAACATGAACTATTTGGTCTGAGGTTTGTTTTACTTGTCTAATATTCACAGCCTCTGTTGCTATTCTGAATTATCCCTCTGCATTATTTTTTCACTATTTAATGTCTTTTTATACCATTAATTTTTACTATATCCACCCAGCTATTAAACCACAACAACTTAAAATCACTATGTCAATAAGATCTTTGTGCCTTTACTCGTTTTTGAATCTGCATATGGCAATTTGGCTCCTGGGCACCCAATATACCTTTTTGCAGTACCTAATCAGTGCACTTATGCCAACCCCTCAAGCCTGTTCATAATTCTTATTTAAACTCTTGTGTCTCAGTAGCTCTTTGATCTGAACACAGTCCACCAGTGCAGCCCCATCAGAGAATCAGAGGGACTGTTCCAGTCCTCCTTGCTTTAGGTTACCCTGCAAGTAAATTTGGTTTGCTTTGACTTTCTGCTCTTTTCCAAAGCTTTTTCCAAAACCATGTCTACTTTGCCTTGTGCTGTAATCCCATTATTTTCTTTGTGCTGAAACATTTGTTCCTAAAGTTGTCTCCTCTCTGGGAATAGGCAACTTCAATAATTTTCCTCAGACAGACGCGCACTTTTTCCAAGCTGAATAGCCTCAAATATTTTGGAGTGTTTTTAGTTTCTCTCTGTGGTTTGCCATTTCTCTGAGCTCCAGTCTCTGTGAACCATCACTCAGCTCCCCCAGCTAACATCCCTGACATGTCTGTTATTCCACTTTAAAGAGGATTCATTGGATGACACCAGGGAGGATATAAATATCAGCATATCCCAGCACTGTTCTCAGAAAAGGTGCTGATGCCCTGCTTGTTTCTGAGACGTACTTCAAGCTGACTTTTTAGATCCTCCATGGATTTTGCCATTTGGGATGACCAATATAATGCACTGCTCACTTTATCATCCATGTTACCTGCGGGGTAACACTTGCAGGCACCTTCAGATCAGCAGTATCTGGGCTTAAAATCAGCCTGAATTTGAAAGGCACAATGTGCTTGCAGCATCCATTCAAGTATCTAAAAATTAATCCAGTTTTACTGGCACTAATGTTGGATTACACATTGTTACTGTGTACTCCCAGGGACAGGCAGGACCAGCTGGCAGTGCCCTTTATTCTTTACCTTGCTGCTCAGGAAGGAAGCAGCACAGTCCCACCTGTCACTGCACAGCTTTCTTTGCCCCCTCTTTGCTCTGTGTTTCAGCCATGCCATGCTGGAATGCTCCACTGCAGCACCCTGGCCATTCTTGTCCTGATGTGGTCCAAGACTTCGAGAAGCTGCAGTAAAAAATCATCCTTTGCCATATCTTATTCAGGCACTAGAGGGACATGCCTGTCCCAGAGTGCTCCAGTCAAGTTGTGCTGTGTTCCTGAACTGTTCCTGTGGTCACTGCCTGATTCATTAATCATCTCAACTACACTCTGCAACCTAACAGGTCAATGGGAATGGCTTTAAGCTTAAAAAGGTGCAGCTTTAGATAAGATATTAGGAAGGAATTCTTTACTGTGGGGTGATGAGTCACTGGATCAAGTTGTTCAGAGACACTGTGGATCACCATCCCTGAAAGTTCAAGGCTAGGTTGGATGGGACTTTGAGCAACCTGGTCTAGAGGAAGGTGTCCCTGCCCATGGCAAGGGGCTGGAACTGAATGTTTTTTAAGGTCCTTTAGAACCCAAACCATTCTGTCATTTTATGATCTGGCCAAGCTCCTGAGCTCCTCAGCTCTGTGAAGAACCACTGGACAAGGCCACAGCAACCAAGAGAAGTGATTCCAGGTTTCTCCCTGCCAGACCAGCTCCCAACGCTATCTCAGTCACAGGAGCAATAAGTGCCAAGGATCCAAAGGCTCCAGGCCCACAGCACCTGGGTATCTCTGCCACCCACACCTTAGACAGGGTCACAGTGCTTTGTCAAGGGCTCTTACAGGCCTCACGGGCAAAAATTAGGAATCAGGCTCTGGATTCCCACTCAAGGTCTCCCTTCTGTGTTTAAGTACAAAGGCTCAGTAAAGCCTTTGCATTTAGACTTTATTCTCTGGGAGCACTCAACCACTGGCATAAGTATATCATAAAATAGACAAAGAGCTGTAATATGTACCAATGGAGCTTAGCATTTCCTGGGGTTATGGAGGAAGGTAGTACCTTAAGATGTGCAGATAGATGACTGACAGGTCTTTTCTGCAGAACTTCCTGCCTTAGACCTCTCCTTGTTGCCTGTAAGAACTCCAATCCATATTTGCAGATCAACTATATCTAGGCCACTAAATAAAAACAGCCTGAATTTGAAAGCCATGATGTGCTTGCAGCACCCTATCAAACACCTAAACATTAAGCCAGCTTTACCAATGCAGTTGTTTCCACACTTCTGAAAGGCTTCTGGGTCCCAAACTGAATCACTGCCTCTGCAACCTAACACAGGCCCTCCAAAGCCATCTCAGTTTGGCTCCTTCTGCACCAGTCCTGTTCATCCACACAGAACCATAGAGCCATAGCATGATTAAGTTGGAAAAGACCTCAAAGGTCATCAAGTCCAACTGCGAGTAGCAATAGAAGCATGTGTAGAAGGGGTGTAGAAGCACAAAAGGGATTGCTGAATATGCTGTTTCTTCTCCAAAACACTGATAAGTACTTCAAACTGAGTGCAGCCTGCTTTTTGTCTAGTACTGAATGAGACAGAGGCTGCTAACTGATAATTTTTGAGCTCCCCAGTTTCCACTCACCCTCTTGTTTCTGTAGGGGTTTATTATGGAAAAGCCTTGTTCTCTCAGACTTTGAGGTGTCCTTGGTCCCATCCCAAGATAAATAGTTTCTGCTTGACAAAACTCACTAAAAGGTAACAGAAATTTGGGGGAAGGGGAGACACCAAGCAGAGAGCTGCGGGTTTTGTGTTTTGCTTTTTAATTACGCTTCTGTGATTTAGAATTACAAGTTAAGTACAAAGCTCCTGCAAAGCCAGCCTGCCTTTCCTCCTGCCTTTCCTGCAAGGGGCTGTCAGCTCTGCTGGGGCTGGACCTGCTGTCCCAGCCAGTCCTGGCTTAGGCTTCCAGAGGAGCAGAGCTTTCTGTTTGGAGAGTTGGCGGGCAGCTCGCCTGCTGCAAATGCATTTCTCTGCTGCTCTCCTTTGGTCCGAAGGAGCTGCAGAATTCTCCTCCTCTTATGTAATGGTCTGCTGGTGTCTTTGCTTGGAAAACCTCTTTTTTCAGCTGGAGGGTGTCAGGAGCTGTGTCCTACCTGTCTTGGGTCACTGCTGAGAGAGCAGCTGGCCAAGGGAGATGTGCCAGGATGTGGGGCAGCAGAAAGGAGCAGCTCCTCTCCCCTTTCTCCCCTTGTGTCCAGCATTTCCTGGGATCTCCCTGTTCCTCTCAGGAGCATGGGGCAGCTCCATCTGGGCGACCCCGGGCAGCAAATGGGGAAAAGGGGAAATTTGGGCTGGGAGCTTTGCCTGGAGCAGTGTGTACCGTGTGTACCCCCGCGAGCCACAGCACGGATGGGGCAGAGCCGAGTGCGGGGGGATGCGGTGGGATAGCGGGATGAGAGCGGAGCACGGCTGGGGGATGCGGTGGGATAGCGGGATGAGAGCGGAGCGCGGCCGGGAGATGCAGCAGCCGCGGGACCGGGGGATGGAGTGAGGAGTGCGGCGCGGGGATGCTGCAGCCGCGGGACCGCGGGACGAGAGTGGATCGCGGCGGCTGCTGCTGCTGCTTCTGCTGCTGCGGAAGCGGATCGCCAAGTCTCCGGGCCGAGCTCTCCCTCCTCCAGCAACCGGCGGGGATGGGGAGGGGGAGCGAGGGAGGGGCACGGAGGGGTCGGGGGACGTTAAAATGCAGCATCATCCTCCGGCCCCGGCGAATTCTGTGTGTGCGTGTGTGTGTGTGTGTGTGTGTGTGTGTGTGTGTGAAGGGGCGGAGGGGGAGCGGCAGCGCTGCCCGCAGCTCCCGGAGCAGCGGGGCCGGGCGCGGAGCGGGGCTGCGCGGGGCGCGGAGCGGAGCGGGCACTGCGGAGCCGGCAGCGCTCCCGGTGCAGCGCCCGAGCCTCGCCGGAGAAAGGGGGGCACCGGGCGGGAGGGAGGGAGGGAGGAAGGGGAAGGGGGGCGGCGATGCTGCCTGGCTTGGGGGAGGGAGGAGAGCGGGGGGAAAAAAAAGGAGAGAAAGAGGGAAAAAAAGGCAAGGAACCCCCACCCCCCCTTCCCTCCCTCCCCTGCCCGGTCCCTTCCATCTCCGGCACACACACACACACCCGCACGCACACACACACCCCATTGATCAATATTTGGCTGTCTTGCTGCAACTTGCTGCAGTCTTTTAAAGGAGTAGTAGAGAGAGAGGGAGAGAGAAAGGGAAACTGGCAGGAAGGGGTAAGGAGCTACACATGTCACATGTGCTTTCTAAGACGGCCAGGAGCATCTGCAGGCTGGATCTGGTGGAGGATGCTGCGGCAGGTGATACACAGAGGGCTCCAGTCGTTTTTCTACAAGCTGGGCTTATTCGTGAGCAGGCATCCGGTGTTTTTCCTCACTGTGCCCGCAGTCCTGACCATCATCTTCGGCTTCAGCCTGCTCAACCGCTTCCAGCCTGACACTGACCTGGAGAGCCTGGTAGCCCCCAGCCACAGCCTGGCCAAGATCGAGAGGAGCTTAGCCAGCAGCCTTTTCTCCCTCGATCAATCCAAAAGCCAGCTGTATTCGGACTTGCACACCCCGGGGAGGTATGGCAGGGTGATTCTCCTCTCCAAACCCGGAGGCAATATTTTGCATCAGGCTGATGTGATCCTGCAGATCCACCGAGCCGTGCTGGAAATGAAGGTGAACTACAAAGGCTATAATTATACTTTTTCCCATCTGTGTGTGTTGAGAAATCAGGATAAGAAATGCGTGCTGGATGATATTATTTCAGTGCTAGAGGATCTGAGGCAGGCTGCCCTCTCCAATAAGACAACAGCCAGGGTGCAAGTGAGCTATCCCAACACTAAATTAAAGGTATGCTCTTACTGCATGCTTTTGCCAATTAAAGAGGCAGCACTTCATTTCTTGTCCTAAGCAGCAAAGAGAAATATAATCATATCTCTCTCTCTCTGTGGAAATGTGTGTGATCTGGGCTTTCCTCGTGAAGCAGCTGAATCTGGTGCCTTGCTTTGCTCTGGGCGAGGAGGGAGGGTGGGGAACTGGACGCTGCTGCCGGAGCAGGAGAAGAAGGGAGCGGAGAAGAGCCTGAGCACCTGCAGACCTTGCAATGCGTTGAAGGTTCCATTCATGGGGGGAAAGGGACAGGAGGTCGGTGGGGGGTGGAGAGCTGGTTTGCACTATCACCTTTTCCAGCCTCACTGCTGTGGTGGGATAATTTGTCTTTAATGTGGCCAGGAAAAGCTTTCCTCAAAGGCACAGTGAGGTCCTGTCTCTCCCTGCCCCTGCCAGCCCTGTAAGAGCAGCAGGAGGTTTGGGCCAAAGCAATTTCAGGTGTCCTGCTTTCTTTACCTGCATTCAAAGAAGGTGAAGGGATGTGGGATTTTTTTTTTTTTTCCTTTCTCAGTGTAAAAATTGTTAACTCTGTCGCTGATGGATGCGCTGGAGTTTTGGGATGGATCCCACCAGCTAGAGGCTTCCAGCAAAGTTGAAACAAGGTGAAAGGTGAAAGAAGTTTCAGTCCTCCTAATTAAAAGAATAAGCAATTTGGCACAAATTATCTCAGGACTATTTCCCTGGCACACAAGCGCCCATCTGTTTTCCCTCCCATCTGGAGCAATTCCGCTCACCAGGACTAACCTGCTGTGAGTAAATAAGGTACAAAGTTTGCAGGTAGCACATCAAAGAAGTTTTTGTGGATTACAGTACATCTGCATGCTCCCCTGGGCATTGCACCAGAGGCAGGATTTATTTAACAGAGTGTAACAAACTCCCTAGGATGCTATTTACTCATGGCTCAGGTCATAGGGGAGAAGACATGCTCCTCCTTGTAAACCAGAGATCTCTGGGGTTACCTCTCCCCCTTTTTCAAAGAGTTCCTTGGGGCTAAGGGACATGCTCTTGCAAGTACCAGCACTAAGATCCTGAAGTTATAATTTGTTTCTTACTGTACATTTACCAGAAAAAGATCCCATAAAGTCAGTGCCTGTTCCGAAATCTGAAGCAGAGACATAGATTGATTTTATTTGATTGTCTTTTTCCTTCAATAAAAGTGCCAGGTGGAACAGCTTGGATTTGGTCCCGTGGCTGTAGATGTTACAGTAATTGCTTTGTACAGAGTTGTGGCTGCCTGAGTGGAGTGTGTGGAAATGAAAAGGTGTCCTTCCTACTGCTGGAAAGTCCTGAGTGCAAAGAGTGCTCAGAAAAACAAGTTATTCTGGATTAAATATCCCTGAACAAATTTTATCTTCATGCTATTACTGCAGAACTAAAGTGAATCCTTTACATTTTGCTTATTTTTAGAATTAAAATTAAGGTAGTTCAGTGGAGAACACTGATAATCTAAACTAACAGTGTTATAAAGCAGCTTTATACAGAAATAGCCATCCTATCCTCTAAATCCAGGTTAATTTTCTTCTCTAGACAAACTCTAACTGATCTTATCAAAACTAGGATGCAGTGTGTTTTTTTTTTTCATTAGAAGATTGCCTACAGCTCCTCCTTTTTTTAAAGATAAAAGCAAAGGAAAAGATGATGTGGTCTGGATTAGCTACATATTGGATTGCCAGATAATTCACATACAGAGAAAGGTTTTCCTAAAACACAGAAGTCTAACTCTGAGCACTGCCAAACACCATCCCAGCATCTTCAATCCCCCAAAGGCTTGTTGTGTTTCATCTTCTGGGTGAGGGAATAAACTCCCTTAAGTAACTCAGTTTAAAGCTGGACAGAGCAGGGTGGGGAGCTTTTTGTCCTCTTGCCAGTGAAAGAAGGTAAAGCCACTAAAGCCTGTGACTGCACTTCAGATAAAAGCCAACAATTACAACTCATTTCTGTGGGTCCTGCTTTTACTGAGAAACACACTTTGCCACTATTTTCCTTCTTCTTATATATTAAGGACTCTATTATGGATCTGTGGTCAGCCCTGAACCTGGGCTGCTCTTCAACAATGGTGTGTCTGCAGAGACTCACCTTCTCTGGTCTCTTTGGCTCCAGCTGCTGGGATTAAGTTACTGTTTTGTATAAAATAATTGACAAGTTTATGTCTGTCATCTTTGCTGTCCCATCTACCAAGGGTTAGGAAGTTGTGGGCAACCTCTTGTGAACTTCTTCAAACCATGGGCAAGATCTTGGTTTAATCCCGGCTCTCAGTCTGTTTACTGACCTCCCTCTATTTGCACCTCTGAGCAAAGGCTGTGGAAACTCAGGCCTGTATTTCTTGTTTTGAGGTGTCTCATTGTGTTTAAACAGAAACATCTCAGATGCTGCACCCATTTGGGTAGATGAGTTTCTGGATGTTCAGCAAAGGCACAGAACCCCTGTGGCTGTATCTGTGAGGTTTTGTATTTCTTCACACTTGAACTGTGATATTAAGCAAAAGTTGTGGTTAAACCTCATGGAACTGCAAACAAGAGACCCAAATCTGCCTGCTCTTATTCAGCGTGGGCCAGTGTTCATCGCATTCACTGGTCCATGTCCTTGGGATTCTTCTCAGCTAAACTTTACTGCACCATTAGGACCCTGTAGGATCTTCTAGGTTGCCTCACTTTCTCAAAGGTCATGTTGCTTGGTTAATACCGGTAGGTTTTGCTCTTTTAATAATGGCCTCAAATTAAACAAAATTCTTCTAAAAACAATACTGGGTTTCATAAACCATGAAGGTGCCCCATATGTGTTTAGTTTACAGCACAGTTTAGTTTACTTGACATGGGTCAAGTGTCAAACTATGCTGCTCTGGGACACAATGACAGTGTTGAGCTGTTCCACTCCTCCATCTGGGAGCTGCAAAAACATCTTGTAGTTTTTTATTTCCCTCAAGCCTTGTGAGAAGCTTTCACTTTGTCTCTCTTCTCATCTCCTGATGGAGGCCAAATCAGTTCAAACCTCTCAGGTGAGGCTGGCTGAAGGCTGACAGGGGGTGAGTTCTTGGCAGGTTTCCCACAGGACTTTCTGGGAACCACTCAAGCAGGTTTCGGCAAACTGCTCCAGTTTTGAAGCAGCTGTTATCGGGCTGCAAAACCTGATGAAACTGCTCGGCTTTTCCTGAGGAAATCTGGATGTGAAGGACAATTGTTTAACCATTACTTGCTGTAGTGTTGGAAGAACTTACAGCCCTAAATACTTCCACTTTACCTATCCCTCTCTAAGGCAGGAACTTGGTCTCTCCACTCACAAGGAGCAGAGACACAGCATTCACATTCAGAGCACAGACTGCAGGGTGGTTTCAAATGCCTGAGATGGGTTTAAAATCCACTCTGGCTACTTAGGGGTCATTGTAGGCAAGTGCAGGTGAACCAGGCTGAAGGAAAATGCCAGCTCTCATTGCTTTGGGGACACAGTAGCCTGCTCACTGCAATCTGCAGCCCAGCCAGAGAGTGACTTGCCCAAGGTCATGCAGATAGACTGTGGCAGAGCAGGAAAACAAAGCTGGATATATGAAGTCTCGATAAAGATTTTTCAGACACTTCCTGGAGAGCATTGCTCATGCTTTCCTCAGTTTGGGACATAAAAACGATGCTCCTGTGCTTGGAGTCTGGACTGTGCCCTAACTTGCACAGACTGAGCACTCAGCATCAGTCATCAAACTGTTAAATCTCAAGTTTTGGCAAATATCAGCTTTGTTTTTGTCAGTTGAGACTTCCAGAACAGTGACTGGGCATGACTTCGGAGACAGCATGGAAAAGAGTCCACTCTGGCTTGGTAAATCCGCTTCATCCTGCTGATAACAGTGTGTGGTGTTCCTAGAAGTGAGCACATTGTGCCCCTGCCTCCAGGGCCAGAATGTGGTCTGAGGCACAGTTTATTTGTTGGTATAAACAGAATTATTGATTACCTGAGGATTACTTCTTGTCTACCATGAAATATGAGGGAAGAGATTGCTTTTTGACCCTGATTCGCCTATAACCACAGAAAATTTGCTGTCCGATTCCAGAAAAAGCCAAAAAAAACCCCCTCCAAACAAAAATAATGGAAGTTATTTCTGAACACAGTTTTTATATGGAAGGGAAGAAGAGAAAGGCATAAAAACATTTTTCAGGTATTTCATCTTTATTGTTTCTTTGTTGCTTTTCATGTTTATTTGCTACTTTTTCTGAGAAAAGATAATAACTGAGAACTTGCCTGTCTGAGATCAAAACAAATATGAAAACTGCTGGTTTAAAGAAACCTTTGTCAGCAGATTGGTTCCTGTAATATTGCCTTCAATTAATTAAGTATCAGTCATTTATGAACACTAGGCGAAATAGCAGCCAATAAAACCAGAAATCTCTATTACCACATTTGTGATAAACACATCAGCTGGATATTGAGTCTGCTCTTGCTTAAGCTGAAGCATTACTTGCATTCATTTAACATCTTGAAATCTCTAATTGCAGTTTTGCTGCTGGCCAGATTCTCAATTTTTCTCGCATTAACAGCTGTACTTTTAAATGAGTCTCACTCCATTTGCATTTGTGGAGTCTTTCTGACTGCTCTAAGATTAATCCCTCCTTATATGTCCCTGAGGGGGACACCTCTATGGGACAGAGAAGATATGCAACCAGAGCCCACCTCCATCAGAGTAGGCATCTATGCACCAAAAATATCCACAAACTGATTATCCCTCCAGTAAAACCACTTAGAGTGTATGATTGCCCTAACTCCAACGAGCAGATGCTTCCTCAGAAGCACTGAGGCTCTGCACC